TATAGAGGGGTATGAAGAGCTCATAGAGGAGTTCTTATGTCTCCAACATCCTAAAAGACTTTTATAGTAAACTTCAGGTAAATTCGCCGTAACTATCAGCAACACTGGAAGTTACCATCTTTCTTCCTAAGAAGCCACAAAGAGATGAAAACTTTGTCCACAGCTGAGTTTATTAACAGCAGATTAACTGAATAGGTCTGCTGGTGTTTCTGATCACTTTCATCATCAATATATCATCGCTTTGATGAAAAACCTCAGACCAGAGAAATGGAAGCATTCCAGTCAGGACCTTCACCAGCTCCGTTTGTCTTTGAAGGAAGCTGCTGACGTCACTGTTTGCTCAAAGTGTTGCTGTATTGATGTATGGATCAATAAGCCCAACATTCCTTCACACAAACTGTAAACAGCAGAACAGATAACTACACAAAGTAAAACATTAATTATCCCCAAATCTCCACATGTTGAGGACAGAGGACATTCTGAAGGTTTTACTGTATGGACAAAAAAAAAGAAGACGTCGGCTTTGTTATCTGTTCTATCTACGTCTGCCCTTCATCCTGGGCCTCGCTGTGATCTCCCTGTCATCAACCAGACAGACAGGCAGGCAGACATGTAGACAGACAGGTTGACAGACAGACAACAGGTAGACAGACAGAGTTGTTGTGAGAGTTCAAATCATCACACAGTGTGTGTGAGTGTGTGTGTGTGTGTGTGTGTGTGTGCTTCTCACCTGTAGATAAACACGGTGACGGTGACGATGATGACAAAGACGAAGCAGATCACCATGGAAATCATCTGATGCATCGTGACTGTTCCTGAGACCAGAGAAAATGTCCCCATAAGGACAGAAAGAAAGGAGTGTCCTACACCATTCATTGTACACGTTGAGGTGTCTTGTGAGGACCATCCACAGTTACCCTGACAGTAAGGTCCTCACTAAAACTAAATGTGTGTAGGTGTGTGCCAGCAGTGGTGCATACGTGCGTGGCACGCTGGGTTGTCGTTCTTGAAGCCACACTCAGGAATGTCTGCAGGTGGAGAACCTCCAGGCCACTGGAAGCTCAGACCTTCCTGCAGCAGCAGCTGCTTCATGCTGCTGTTGTAGACACACACCACCTGAAAACACACACACACACACACACACACACACACACACACACAAACAATGTGAATAATTTCAGATTTCTATCCTCCTCTGTGGTGGGAAACTAAACATCTTTGGACAGAGACATCATCTTCCGATACGTTAGAGACCAAGCAGCTGATTAATTCATTAGGAAATGATTGCTCGTTGCCGCTTTGGTTTAAAAGTCTTTACCTCGTCTCTCAGGTGTTGCAGCGATGACATCATGAGTCAAGTGTTTTACCTGAAACTCTCCAGAGTCAATGTTCGTCATGTCCCACACAGCGAAGTCCATCTGTCTGTCCCCGAACTCGTCCATCTCCACCATCCCCATCACCCCTGCAGAGTTACACAACATGTCAACATCTGGACACAGACCTGTAAACACCTGTAACCCTGTAGAACATCTGTAACC